GCTAGATATTCTAGGGTTAACCAAACTAATTTTTCACAGTTTTTAATGGTAAATAAGATAAAAATTTGAGCATGTGTTAATAAATTGGCATAAATGCTTGAGGAATAATTAAAAATCAACAGAAACAACCGAGAAGACTTAAAAGTCCTAGTGCTTTAGTAGTAATCAGAAATACAATCGAAGACAACAGAATAATAAAAGTCTCGAGATTCAAACTATCAAACGGAAGGAAAAAAGTAACTAAAATAGGAAACAAAGATGGAATTATAGTGAGCATAGGCGCTGGAACCATGGGGACAATGGGGGCTTGAGCCCTTATAGTGAATTTGCTATGGGGGCAGAGCCCCCATAGAGATTTTGGTATTATATATGTAGTGAGTTTAGTAGGTAGGTACAGGGTGATCTATTATAAATGTCACCTGTCCTAACTTTTACATTTGACGCTTTTGACAGAAGATACAAAAGCTTTCAGAAATTGTCAAAAGTTTTTAACTACGTTAGTTTTAAGCATCCTACAGGGTGCGTCAGAAAAGTGTAGCAGAGCTAAGTTATATTTTTCTAAATGGAACAACATGTATATTGTGCACTAATTTGTTAGTACCTTTCAACCTGAGTTCAACAATATACGTTTTCTTATATTTACCTTAAATAGTTATAGGGAAAAACGCGAAAGCCTCTTCATTTCATGTACATTTTTTTAAATAATAATAACTCAAGAAAACTGATTTTATTTTAACATTTCACCCTCGATTTCACCTTGTAAATTAATGAATAACATTTGAACAAGAGACTGTTTAATGGTATGTATAATTTTTCTTTCTTCTCAACATGAGACCTTGGAAGGGGTTTTCACATTTTTTCCTATAACTATTGAAGATAAACATATCAAACCATATATCGTTGGAATCAGTTTGCTAACAAATAAGCGCACAATATACATGGTGTTCAATTTAAAAAAATATAAGTTCGCTCTGCCACACTTTTTTTACGCACCCTGTATGCATGATACTGCCTTATGGCGTGTCCGATTGGTAGATCTAGTGCGGAACTAGTGCATTTTTTTCTATTTCTGTCTTTTTCTTCTACAGGTCGATTAAACGGATACAAATACACTCAGTGCGCACTGAATCTACCAATCGAAAACGCCATACGTTGAAAACTTTTGACAATTTCCTAAAACTTTTGTATGTGACACTTTTGTCAAAAACGTCAAATGATAAAGTTAGGAGGAGGTGACATTTATAATAGATCACCCTGTACAAAAATTATGAAAATATTGAGTTCCTAATTATTTATTTTTATGTCAAATTTGTGTGCATTATGTTTTTATTGTTTTTGCTATACCTACTTTAACAAAGGCTTTCAATATTTTGTTGTATAGTAGGTATATTTTGGTATTTAAAGCTGTATTTTCAAAAAGTCGGATGATCCAGCGTGGCGATCCTGCAGTGAATGTGTATCAGTCAACTGGTCCCATTTAAACCTATACAGTAAGGGGCAGGCTACTAGGTATATAGGATCCAACTTGACGAATTTACCACCGTCCGCAGCAGTTTGAACCCCTGTCACTGTCGTTCGTTCAACAACTTTGACGTTTGTTTACTTCAGTACGATAGACTTAAGCACGGTCCAGACGCTACGGTTCAGCTTACTGATCAAAACGTTTTGTCTGCAACGTGTTTAACTGTATGCAGACAAAACGTTGTGCAAAACGTAGCGTCTGCGCCATGCTTTCAGATATTTCGTCAAGCTTTATTTATTTATAATTAAGTTTACGCGTGTAGATAGCTAAGCGTTGGTTATCAATGTAGACACTAGACACTTTAAGCAAACCCTAAATTTTCCTACGTATCCGTATCCGCTTCTGTAAACGCATCGACTTACGTTGACCGCCTAAAAGTCCTTTCATGGTCATACATTACGTAAACGATCGTATCCTTGGATGACACGTTTTCGAACCACAAAAAGTTTTGTTTTGATTTTGTAGCTGTGTTTGTAGGTTTTATTTTTATCTATAAGTACTGTGTTTATGTTGCTGAAGTTATTTTAGTAATAACTGACAGGTAGATCCCTCAATAGTGTCAAATGATTGAGATACGTTTTCGGATACAGATACGAGTCTAGGCCCGTAACGATACGGACAACGCAACGCAACGAGACCACCGTATTTACTATCTATCCTGCGTTAGATACGTCTGAAATTCAGGACCTGCTTAAAGTGTCTACTTGCTTATCCTGAACTTTTATATGTATCCATCTCCGCATCGATCTGCGCACGCGCAGAATAGATACGGTGGTTTCGTAGTCCGCATAGTTACGGGCCTAGTCTCGTATCCGAAAACGTATCTCAGCCATTGTGTCTTTAGCCTTAGTTTTTTGAGTGACAGGTCTTTTCATGTTTTGCTTTTACCTGGTTGTCATGAGTTAAGGGTCATTCACATCCACTTAACTTAACTAAAGGTACGGAAAATTATAACTAACGTACGAAACTGAGAAGGTCTCTGTTAACAATGAAGTAAATTATCTTACATGACGTATGCGCACTTATAACCTGAACTGTCAAGTCAAATTATATGCACAGAAATGGAAATTATTATTTATTGCACGGATTTTCTTAAGTTGGTTCAACTTTTCCGTGTGTCACGTTAATTTTCTTAATTTTTAAGTTGATGTAACAACTATGTGATCTTCAACTTTTTTTTATTATTAATTTTCCGTACGTCAAGTTAAGTTAAGAGGATGTAAATGACCCTTTAGCACTAAATATATTCGTCATTTTGCCACATGCGGACGCCTGCAAATTCGTCAAGTTATATCCTATATACCTAGTAGCCTGCCCCTCACTGTATGTCTAGTAGCCTACTGGTCGTGCCTGTATAATTTTACCTGTGTTTTTTTTTGGAGCCCGAGCCCCCATAGTAATTATGAAGTTCCGGCGCCTATGATAGTGAGTAAACGAAATGAAATAATAACTGTTTTTCAGGATTTCTACAGAATATGTACTTTTCTAAAGTCCAAGATAATCAGTACCAAAGAAGAAAAATATAAAATGTAGGGTCAGAAGAAGATCCCGAAATAAATAATAGAGAACTGAAAGCAGCATTACGTCAAATAAAAAATAGTAAAAGCACAGGTAAAGATCAAATTACTAGTGAAATCATAAAAATGGAAAACAAGGTGCTGTTTGAAGCTGTGCAAATTTTGCTAAAAGAATGTTTAATCAAAGGAAAGATTCCCTACAAGTTACCCTAATACACAAGGAAGGAGGCAAACACAACATAGAAAACTATTGGCCTCGGCTTCTTATCACATTTTTATAAACTGTTTTAAAAAAATCAAACCGGTTCCAACAAAATGGACCCAATCAGTTGAATAGGCAAAATTCCGTAGAGGATATGATACAGAAACATGCTAGAAGAACTCGTGCATCACTGAAAATTAGGCTTGAAATGAACCAAAAAAAAAACAAAGAACATAAGTATAGAAAACATTTAGGTAGGTAACTGATTGCGATCAGCTCTTAAAAAATGTTCCTGATTATTTTTAATTAGGACATACCTAGAAGAATAGGCCGATCTCTTGGGCAGCTATTGGCTAGCTAAGATTTATTCTTGAATTCGAAGACTTTCCTATAAATCATAAAAGGAGTGTATTTGAGTCCTATTGAGGGACAGGATTCGAAATGAAGTGATCCCTTTGGAAGAGGCCTACGTCCAGGGGTGGATAACTACGGACTGAAAGAAGAAGAAATGCTTTTTAGTACTTAACTGCTTGAATAGGTTTGATTGTAGTCGGGTAGCGAAAATGAAGTTAGGCTGATATTGCAAGACAGAGCACAGATAGACGGACTTACAAATTAACAGCATGGCGTGCAAGAGAGACTGAAAGAAGTGTTTGCAGACCTCAAAAGAGAAGGCGTGATGACATCCAGAACGTTGCTGGAAAAAAATTAATAAGGGTTGCTACGTACAGCCAAAAATTGAAAAAAATTATTTGTTACTGGGAACGATAAACTTGGTAAATATTCATGAGGTCACTCACTTGGTCCATCAGAGTACCTTCCCGCGGTAGGGCTCTATTTGCAATTATTAGGTATATGTCTTTTTTATTAGTTGAAGTATTTATATGTATAGAGAAAACGTTGAAGTCTAGTTTTGTAGTAAAGTGTGCGTTGAAATTTATAGTTGACTAGAAGATAGGTCCCCTAGAATGGAGATGAATTCTGTTTCTTTTTCAGTGCTTTATTGCTGTCTTCGAGTGCATTGAAACTGTTGGGTAGTTTGAAAGTTGAGATAAGTCTTTTTAATTTCCAGATTTGAAATATTTCTATTACAGTTTTGGCAAAGTATTTCTTCGAACTGCTATGATGAAAAGTGCAACTTTGCACCTAAAACTGACTTGAAGGGGTACCATCGTATTCGGAATATCAAAAGAAGCCAAATTAAAGCTATTTAAAAAAAAATGGTGTAAATTTAATTAATAATAATAATAACTAAAATGATACACCTACAGCAAGAGACTTAAGGGCAACTTTTAATTCCACAGTGAAAGTTTGTAGGCTACAATTAGCTAATAATATTAGCAATCATTCAGATCAGTGATGTTTAGGTACGCTTTTCTTTGTAATTTTGCAAGTAATGTTAATTGTACTTATAAGTCTTATAATCATCGACTTGGATAAGCTTGTATTTCAAATTGTTAGAATATTACAGCTCTAATAATTTTAAAAACTTAAAAATGAATAATAATTTGGTCAAAATAATACTTTAAGCTTGCAGTTTTCTCAATTATCACCAACTGTATTGCTTGTTTATTAGAAATGATAAATTTCATTAGAGCTTAGAATAATTTTTATTAATTTATGCAAATGAAATCAAATAAAATTAGTTATTTCTTATAAATGTCCCTTCAAAGCTTGCATAAACAGAATGATATAAGTACATACTTTAAATTGTTGCACATAGAAAACTGCCATTGGTTTATTTGTCGTTGTGTTATATTTAAAACCTATCTTATTTGATTAGACTATAGTCTAAAAAAAAATAAATTTGGTTAGGCTGGCGTAAGTGTAAAAGTAACTGTTAAAGGAGCAGGTTGTTTTTGAAGCATTGGTAGAAAAACAACGGATGGCACTACTCTGCGATCTGATGCAGATTCTTCTAATAAAAAAGCTTGCATTACATACCCAGCTGTATCTGAAGAATTCTCATCCTGTGGTACATCGTTAATACCTTGGTGGGGTAAGGCGTAGGTGGCTGGCAACTGAGCTTTTTCGGCAACGTCCCTAAGAGATTGACTCACCTCCAGCGGCAGTTCTGTTATGTTAATTCTTTGTGGATCTTTCTTTAATTTATCTGTTGGTGACACATTATTTGGATGTATATTTTCTCCGCTTTCTTCTGTAACTGTAGCTGGAACCGAATCTTCATCTTTCACTATTTCTTGTTGGGCTTGATCTTTGCTTATAATATCTGAATGGCCATTAAATACCGGAGGTAAGTGTAGAAAAGGATGATGACTATACATGTGATGTTGAAACAATTCCCTCTCTAAAAATGATTGGGGGCATACAGGACATTTAAGGGGAACATTTTCGTTAAAGGCGTGAGTTCTTTCGTGAATAAATAATAGAGGTAACAAAGGTGAAGTGAATGGGCAATAGGAACATTGATAAGATTTGGCGTTAACTTCTTCAGACCCAAAAATTGAAGATAAAACATTTTGAATGCCTAAATTTTTTTGCGGTGTCTCGTGTCCACCATTGGGAACCTTTAAATTTGGACTAGCTCTTTCAGTTTTTATAGATTTGGAGGATTTAGAATTTTGACCCAGAGATTGCTGAAGTTGCTGTTCTAACTCAGACCACTTTTCCATTCCTGCTTGACCATGGTCACTTACTAAATGAGCTTTTAACCATTTAGCGCTCCTAAATCTTCTGCTGCAAATAGGACACACTTCAGTGAAATGTGTAAAGTATCTATGGCTTAAATCGGCAAGATCATTTGGTTTTAGGGCAGGTTCAGGTTCGGGTGTCGAAATCAGAGGCTGTGAGAAATTTTGTTCACCTTCAGACTTTCTGGGTTGAACGAGGCTAGCGCCATATTCTACAATACCATGTGTGTTGTGTTTGTGAACCCGAAGGAAATATTTGCTGCACAATTCTTTATTACAAATATCACAAACTACTCCTCCGATTTGAGCTCCATTTTCTATTTCAATGCCGTGCATTCTCTGCATGTGCGTTTTCATAAAATACTTATTACAAAGTTCTTTGTTGCATATCTCACAGTAGCTGCTCGTTGGAGTTACATTAACGGATAATCTTCGTTCAGGTACACTACCTCCAGGTATGAATATTTTACTTGATGATTTATCTGGAGGTACATTTTCATAGCTAAATTCTTCTTTGTGATTTTCGGGACCTGAAGAAATATTTGAATGGGCTTCCAGAATGTGTTTCTTCATTTCTTCTGCATTTTGTAAGTCTTTTCCACAAAGATCACATAGGGTATTATTGTTGCTATTTTCGGAATCTCCACTTTTCTCAAAATCGGTTGCATCTTCTAGCAACATTCCATGTTCAGTCACCATATGAGCGTGAAGGTAAAAACGGTTTTCAAATTCCTTGTTGCAAGAGGTACATGCGGTTGATGCTTTAGCTTCATCAAGATCATTTAATTGAAGAATCATGGTTTGTAGTTTTTGCAAGTCTTCACTTATAGCCTCAGTTTTTTCAGGAACAGATGTTTTGCACATCTCCTGTGATTTTTTTGAATCATCGCTAGATGGTCCAAAACTTGTATCTAAATTGGATTCATTTTCCTTGGGAGTCATTTTGCCGTGCATTGTATAATTATGAAGTTGAGCTAAATTGGAATTTTGAAATTTTATATCACAAATTTCGCAGCCGATGTCGTTAGGCGATGATGTTTTACGATCATGAGAGGGAGATTGTTCAGTAACAATAAGATTTAAAGGACTAGTTTGTATTGTAGAAGGCCAAGAGCTATTTCCCATTCCCTCCATCTTTGGATCTCTATCGTCGGGGATGTAAATTCCATGGCGTTTCATTTTATGTGTGCGTAAAAAGTATTTGTTGCAATATTCCTTGTTACAAATTTCGCAGAAAGCTTTAGGATTCATAACTCCTATTTTTCTTAAACGGTTGGACAGCTCCATTTCTCGAATAGATTGACTTGGTGACATTTTAACAGAATTGAAAAATATTACATTTCCATCAGATTCATTCTTAGCTGAGGTAGATTCGTTTTGGTTATTACTAGGACTGGAACATACTTCGATCGACGGATCTTCAGTCAATAATTTTTCACTTCCACTAGAAGACAATGGCCCATTGGATGTTGGCATCGAAATTGGATTTTGCACATCACTTAGTTCACTATTTGGCAAACCCGGCAGAGATTGCTTTGAAAACTGATTCGAAAAGGAACAAGGAAAAATGTATGGGTTCATAGCAATCGCCGAAATCTTTGGATCGCTTTTTATTGTGGCATCTATACTTGGCACCGAAGCTGAGAGTTTAAGGTTTAAATTTGTTGCAAAAGATGGTATGCTGGCAGCATTTGGTATTTGTTGTTCGGAAGTAGTTACATCCGTATAGATACCATGTTTATTAGCCTTGTGCGTTTTCAAAAAATATTTGTTACAAAACTCTTTGTTGCACAAATCGCAGTAAGCATCTGGATTGAAGATTCGTATAGGCTTGATTTGGAGGTTATCCGGTTGACTAAATTGGGACATTGCCATAAACACCGGATTGGTAGTGCCGAATGAATTGTTTTGCACGTTGGAATTGGCCCAATCTTTATTTGATAGTTCCCCTGTCCATGGAACTTCTGACCTAGGCATTGTTAAGCACAAAGGGGCCTCAACAAATGGTGCTGAAGAACTGGTAGTTTCTGTTTCATCCTCAGGTTCCCTTTTAAATTCTACTTGCTGATGTTCATATTCAATATGACTTTGTGCCTGCTCAGCAGTATCGAATCTTAGTTGGCACACATGACAAATATTTTCGCAGGATTCTGCCGGTTTAGTTTCGGAATATGGTGGTATAGAAATAGAAGTATCTCCTCCAGAGGATTCAGGTTCTGAGTTATAAATTCTTATCGGGGTAGATTGTTTTCTACGCTTCTTGCAGGAATCCGACGTAGATGGTAAGCTTAGGAACCTTTTTGTGCTTCTAGCCGATTTAAAATTGGATTCCCTGTTTGGTAGCTCTTCTCGTACTGAGGGGTAACCTCCATGTAGTGAACCAGTACTTGAAGGTATTGTGACGGATGTCATCGTTTTTCCTTGTAGGCGACATGCAATAATCGTATAGGTCCCTGGAAAAAAAAATGTCCTTTAATATCAAGTTTTTTGAAAATAAGTTTACTTTTTCATGAAATCCAAGGGAAGCAATGACAATTTGAAAACCAAAACTTAATAATATCGTTCGTAGTGGCAAAATTGTATGGCTATAACGACAGCGAAATTCAATCATTTACCAATAGAAACTTCATTTATTGTTAAATTGAAAGAGGAAAGCCTGGCCAAAAAATGAGCCATATCTAATAACGCTTCTATAGCAACCCGTTTTAGATGATTGGATGGTCGTTTAAATTAAATTTAAAAACCATGTCAAAACCTTTCTGTTGGCAATAGAATGCTCAATTTACCAATAAATATTATTGGGGATGCGAATCTGAATCAATTTATATACTTATTGAAAATTTAATCATCAAGGTATGATTAATACTAAATAATTTTTTATAGTTAAACCAAGTAGGTAAACCGAAATGCTCCAGCCCAATCGAAGATCGGGACTTTCTTTTTGAGATTAGTAGAAATTATCAAAATTAACTTAAATTGTTGTTGGTTTCAAAATTTGTCCTGATTTCCATTTGTCCCCTAAGTTTTATCTTCTCTTTATGTCGGAAATGATTTATTTCACCCTTCTCGTTTTCAAAATATATATACATATATAATCAATAACAGTTCTCGGCAGTAGCTACTTTTAAATACCTATATTTGTTTAAAACTTTAATGAGCTTTAATGGTCTATATGCAAAAAAAAAATGGCTATCTACGAATCGATACCTATGAAAATTCACATTTATTAGCTATACGTATTTGTAAACATTTACTCCAATAATGAAGATAGGTTTGATAAGTAAGTAGTCAAACATTTTATCGCACACATGAAAATATATTGTATATGTATAAAAATTCATGTCTACTAATATCCTGCGAAGAAAATTGTACTAGAAAAATCATTAAATATTTGTGAGCGTGGACTATCTAAAGGAAGAATGAATCATGCGACTTTTCCCTTATTTCTGGAATATTGCAATGACAGCGTCGTGTATTTTCAAGGATGTAAGGGGAATGAACAAAACAAATAAATCCTTAATATACGAAAGTTAAATAGGTTTACATTTTGCCCTTCTCGTAATTTAGGGATCGTGGTCCGAATATCGGAATTGTTTTTGACAAATATTAGAGCGATACAACCAATATTGGAGAAAATAAAGAAATGCCTATGCAGATATTTATATACTAAAACTGTTTATAAATGTTTTATTTTTAATTGCATTTTAAAACCATTTGCGATTACTGTCTTCTTGGAAAAACGTTAATAATAATAATTAAGTATAGTTGCCACTTTTCTACTTCAGCCTATATCTTACCATATATGCACTTATTCACATATAGATAGAGGTACGGTTACGCCCCTGATTCGCTCCCTTCTTTCCGATTTAGCTAGTTTCCAGGAGAAATGGCAAATAATATCGAGTGCACTTGCAGGGGTGGACAATAATAATAGGAATCTTTATTAACGCCGGCATTTGTAATTAGACGCATTTTATTACTTCACGTTGAAATCAATACTTTTTAATTACGGGTTGGTTTATACTGTTTGATTAATATAAGTTTCAAGGTTTCATTGGAAATTATTATACATGGGGCAATGGAATAAATCATGAAATCAAATTCAGATCGATGGGAAAACCATTTTCACGTTTTATTTGTTTCGCCTCTTGGAATTCAACTATTCATTCTATAATGCAGATAATCTTTTTTTTTAAGTTCAATATCTGAAATATTTCGAAACAACAGACAATTAAAGATTAAAGGCTTTAATGGCACAACAAATTTTACAACTTATAAATTGTTCACTAAGAAATGGGGCTTTTTCAGGAAAATTTGAATGTTTATTTTAAAAAACACCAACCACTCAAAGTTTCATGCGATATAGTGTAGTCAATCTAGACAGGTTTATGCAGGTGAGGTAGAAAAAATTAGTAACAAAGTGATCTCTGCGGAAATGAGTAGTCAATAGGTTTCTAATTAATCCCTCAAAACTCGCACTTTATCGCATTGGTGGAACTTGGAAAAAATGGCCGCCATCTTGATTTTTTAGGAATTAATTGAATATTTCATAAAGTATGCATTAATTATATCAAAAAAAATTCAAGAGAACTTTTTTGTGGAGAATAAAAAGTTACTTATAATAGAAGAAATTTCAATACCATTAGCTGGAAAACAAAAAAGTTTTTGGAGTTTAATTTATTTAAAAATCTGGAAATTTTTGAACTTTAGGTAAAATCGCGAAATGTACGGTTTTTTCTAAAAAAAACCTAAGAATGCCTTTTAGTAGAGGATCAAAGATACCAATATTGAGATAAGAAAAAAAATATCAGTATTTATCGAAAGTTTGGTGTCAAAGGTTTTTAAAGCATGGTCTCAAGTTTCCAGTCTTCCTCTTCCACTACTGGGAAGGTTTAGTGATTTTTTTATAAACCTTAAAGTATAAAATTTAATTTATTTGAATTACTTAGTGTATATCTAGACAGTACACAGACATCTTAAAGACGTCCCCTAAGATGTCCACAAACGACATTCAAGATATCTTTTAGACGTCTGCTTACGTGTTCAAGTCGTCTTAAAGACATCTTAAATACCTCGTATGTTACAAAACCCAACATCTTCCAGACGTCTGCCTAAAGACGTCTCCAGGGCTGATATTTTATTATTATTACTCATTTTATAACTTTCAATTTATGTCTCTTCCAAACGCTAGGGTCTTAAATTCTTGATTTTTTTTAAACGAAAACATAGGAAAAATTCATTTTGGAAGAAAACCATTTGAAGAAACAGGACTGGAAATTAAAAAACAAATCAAGAGCCTGAAATTCTAAAATACAGGAATAATGAGAATTCAAGAATATTGAAAAAAAAATTCAACAGCCAGAAGAAAATTAAGAATTTAGAATAAAGAAGTAAGGAAAAATCAAGAGCCTGGAATAGAAAAAATTATAAAAATTCAAGAATTTTAATTGAAAGAACATTTTCTTGTTAATATTTCCTTATTATTTATTACTCATTTTATAACTTTCAATTTTTATCTATTTCAGGCGTTAGGCTCTCTGAAATAATTCTGAGGTTTGTCTGAAGTGTTCCAACTTGGCTTGAAGAGTTCTGGAGCAATCAGAAGTGTTCAGTAATTTCTAAATTGGGTAGTCCGCTCCTTTGAAGGATTTTAGTATTTTAGAGCTCTATTGAAGTTCTAAAGTGAAGTTGAATTGGTTTAAAAGCATTCTAAAAGGTTTCCAGTTCTAAATTGAATCGTAATTGTTCTAAAATATTTCTGAAGTTTCTAAATTTTTCCAAAATGCTCTATTCTAGTAATGGTTCTGAAGTTTCCAAAATATTTTGAAGCGTTACAGAATGCTTCTGGAACTTATGAATCGAATTTTAAGTATTTTGAACTTTCGAAAAGTTCTAAAGTGTTATTCTAAATGGTTTCAAGAGCAAACTTCTAAAATTGAATGAAAAACGAATTCTGTGGGAAATCTTTAGGGAGTCTTAAAGACATCTTGAAGACGTCGTATGTTCCAAAACCCAACGCCTTTCAGACTCTGCCTATAAAGAGGCCCATAGAACTAAGGCATTCTAAAGACGTTGTTTTTCTGAAAGAAGTCTTTGAATCTCTATTGAATACATGAACCATTATTCACTTTTAGGCCTAGCTGTGCGAAATAGTGCGGCTCAGTAGTCAGTTGTCCTTAAGATGTGAATTTAGGACATCTTATTATAGAAGTTTTTAGACTTTTTTTTTTTTTGGTCTTCAGACGTTCAGATGTAATGCAGAATGCAGACTTAAAAAAGACGTCTCTAAAACTTTGTGTGCTGTCTGAGTCTGGGTAGTTTTCTGTCCAAATGTTTTTCTTGTCATATGTGTTTTTGCTCCCTCTCAACAAAAATATTTAGATTATCAAATCTTTTGAATTTTTCTTCCACTAAATGTAATTTTTCATTCTGCACCACAAAAAAAATCCTATTTGAGTTTTTTTTAGATGTTTTATGTTTTGAAAAATTCCATGTTGACAAATGAAATAGATGTCAATAACTTTCTCGTTTTCCAGCTAATGGTCTTGAAATTTCTTTCAATACAGGTAACTTTTGAATCTCCACAAAAAAGTTCTCTTGAGTTTTCTTGATATAATGCATACTTTACGAAATATTCAATAAATTCAAAAAAAATTAAGATGGCGGCCATTTTTTTCCAAGTTCCGACAAAGTGCGATTTTTGAGGGATTAATTAGGACCCTATTGACTACTCATTTCCGCAGAAATCACTTTGTTACTCACTTTTTCTACCACAACCACCTATTTTGACGCCTAATAATGAAAAATTGTTAAAAGCTAGAGTTTAGGCTCAAGTTTTAGAACAAGTAGAAGTCAACGAGATTTTGGTAGATTTATAAGGTAGGTACAAGCAAAGTTCACGTACAGGGTGGCCCGTTTAAGAGGGGCCTATACCTTATCTCGAAATCAACAAGGGCTGTAAAAAAAACTTAAATACAAAAGTTGTTTCTAATGAAATTATCTACAATTTTACTGTATTGTTTTTGTTGTCACTCTACTATATACAGAGTGGACAAATAAAATTTCATTTTTTTAAATGGAACACCCTATATTCTAATACATTTTTACATAGCCCTTTGAAAGACAAATCCAACGATATACTGGTCATGTGTCTATGATATACGGTTTCGAACTTCTTAGCGATTATTTTCAGGCTTTAGGGTAATTTTTAATAGTCATTGTTACGTAACTCAAAAACTTTTAAAACTTTTGTTTTTGCATGATATTTTTTATAAAATAATGCTCTTCTTCTGACTATATTGAAATTTGAAATATTTGTTTAAAAAACGCGGTGTTGCCACGTTTCGCAAAATGTTACGCTTTTCATTTTTTTTAAATGGTACCTCCTGTCAATTTTCGAGTTTTTGGATAGC